ACGCAGGCTGAATCTCCAGAAACCCTAAGTCAGTTCTCTGCCTCAGACTTTTCATTCACCTGGGAGAAAGTCAACTCGAGATTTCATTTATGTTCACAGGATTGTAAAGTATAGCATTTACACATACTTCCTTTTCATCACTGTTTTGTAATGCCTGTTTCATGACACAAGTCACATCATGCAAATTAAGTGCAAATAATTAGAAAATCCAAATTTCCTAACTAATTATTGTATATTTGGCTTTAGTTACAACTACTAATTTGTTTTGCCTCCTAGAAAAACACTGGTTGGCATCAATTATGTAACTTTACCAGAAAAGCAGACCCAATGCTTACTAGTTTATCCATGCTAGCTAATTAAGTAAAAATGTATTGCTAAAAACTCAAGCAGATTATCATTGTTTGTATATTTTAAATAGCACTAAGGCATGGAAAATAAAGACAGTTGCAAGTATTATCAAATGAAACACAAGATATTATCATACATCTTTATCAGAAAACTGTCTGAGAGATTGTGGAGAAAAAAGAACCCTCATGCACTGCTGGTGGGAATGTAAATTGGTACAACCACAATGGAAAACAGTATGGAGGTTGCTCAAAACATTAAGAATATAATTACCATATGACCCAGCAATCCCTCTTCTGAGTATCAATCAAAAAAATTGAAGACTTTTATTCGTAAAGATATATGTACCCCTATGTTCACTGCAGCATTATTCACAGTGGCCAAGACATGGAAACAACTGAGGTATCCTTCAATAGGTGATTGGATAAAGAAGATGTGGTATATATACACAATGGAATACTACTCTGTCATAAGAAAAGACGACATAGTGCCATTTGTGACAACATGGATGGATCTTGGGTTAATCATGTTAAGTGAAATAAGTCAGACAGAAAAAGTCAAGAATCATATGAATTCACTCATATGTGGGATATAAAGCTGAAAGCAACAAACAAATAAGCAAAAACTCATAGACACAGACAACAGTTTAGTGGTTACCAGAGGGTAAGGGGGTCGGGAGGGAGGTAGAAGAGAAAAACGGGGTGAAATATATGGTGATGAAAGGAGATTTGGGTGGTGAACACACAATGCAATATACAGATGATGTATTATAGATTTGTACACTTGAAACCTATATAATTTTATTACCAGTGTCACTCCAGTAAATTTAATTTAAAAAAGATTTGTTTGAAAAACTATGAAAATTAATAGATTTCAAAACGAAGTTAATTGTGAGATAAATATACCAAGACAAAAAATATTATTTCTCTTAGATACCTATGTGCCTATGGCAGTAGTTAGATAGATGATAGATATAGATAGACAATGATAGATAGATAGATGATAGGTAGATAGATAGATAGATAGATGATTTATAGCTAGATGGTAGATGATAGATGATAGATACATGTCTCACTAAATAATAGCAACAAAAAACATAAATTATTTTTATTAATATTTTTTAATATGAGGGAACTATATTAAGAAAATGTCAAAGAAGACTTGAATAAATGAAATGATATCCCATGTTACTGATTACAGTAATTATTTTAAAGGTATTTATTCTCCTTTAATTACTTTTCAAGTTTAACTATACCCCAAATCTCCAAATTCAACGGCACAGTTTTCTTTCGGGAGAAGCTGGGGCTCTTCCTGATTGATCTAAACATGCATCTGGCCCAGGAGTTGGAGAAAATGGAGGATCTGGCAGGATAAACCAGGCGAGCCAGCAGGTATGTGACAACATGTCTGAGCTGCAACAACCCCTGAAGACCTTGCAGCAACCTTCTGACCATAAAAAGCATAATCCCTGTTTTACTTTAATCTTCCAAATCTCACACAAAATGTCTCTTCTTATCCAAGCAAACTCCTTAACCATGCAGAGAACAGAATTCTGTTAAATGGACTTATAAGTTTGCTAAGTTGACACAATACAAAGTCACCACAATCATACAAATATGGATTTTCCAAAAGTAGTGATTTATAGAGCTTTCAAGGCATAGACAAATTTGCTAAGCAAGACACCAAAGGCAAAAATCTTAAGGGAAAGAGGGAAAGATTTGACTTCATAAAAGTTTTTTTTAAGTGTGTCTAAAAAACAACAGCAGAATCCAAATCTAAGCTAATTCTTTAAAAAGAAAAGAAAATTTTAGAGAAATATTTGCAAGACCAATGTCTATAGTGATAGACAAATGGTCGATCTGTTTCACATACAAAGAAGCTTTTTTGTTACTGAACATAACTGCCATTGAATGCTAAATGTGTTATCACTCCAGCTAACTGATTCTTAAGAGCGAGAATGATCCCCCCAAAATAATTACTGTATGTCCACAGATAAAATGGAAAACAACATCATGAACAATCATGTTTAACTTTTGGCTTTTAATTAGGAAGAACACAAAACAATCAGTCTTTAATATTTACATAGATCATCCTCCATACATCTGAAATAATGTTTCTTCTTCCCACCTTCTCCCATCTAAGTTTATCCATCCTCTGTACCATTTTCTCTAGTGTTTTAGATGATTGGTCAGTTAATGCAAAATGCTATGAAAGCCATGCAATAGTCACATATAATTATTTAAAATATATCTCTTCTAAATTAAAAGTGTCTCTTTCATACAAAGCAGTGAATAATGAAAGCATTATGACACTGGGCTAGTACAGAGAGGGTCACTCCTGCCAGGTCAGTCATTGCCCATATTTCTGACAGATAGACAACTCTACTTTCATTCCTGTATATTGAGACAAATTTTAGGAGGAATAAAGTAAAATAGGTCAAAAATTGAACTATTTGGAAATTTAGTATCATGAACCATGAATCACAAACCCAAGAAGCCAGAAATATGATGAATAGTGTCTTTAACATTTAAGAAAGCATTGACTTTAAATGGCCTCTGTCCAGATAATTGTAAAAATTAATACCAAAATTATGTACAAGCATAAAAATTGCATTTCAGATGTGCAAGCTTATGAAGGTGTCAGAGTGAGAAAAATTATGAAAATAATGTGGAATTGAATTTTTGGGGGGCCATGAATCAATTTTGCCAGTGTTTTTGCTTTGCTGTCCTGCTACTTTCCAGAGTTTGATGTTTTTCATTTACAAACATTAGGATATATTTCATTTACCAAAAAAATTGGATTTAACTCTGTAATTTATAAATATTTATGCATATTTCCAAAGAATACATGGGCTTAGCTACATTTTTCCATGATTACTTATATGCCTAATACATCATGTTAGATCTCACATTTTGCACTTTCACAATAAAACATTCAGATGAGAAGGGGATAACCCAAACAACCTGACAACAAATCAGCAGACACTTGGAAAAAATAAAACCTGAAGTAAGATATAATCTATAAAATTGGTGAAGATTTCATTTGAGGACTATTTTCTACATACACTTAAAAATAGTTTTTGTTGTTGTTCAAGAATGAAATATCTGTTCAGATTTTGCAGTGGGTTATTAAACAGCCTAACAAATGGCCAGCAAGTGTCAGTGACCCTACCCCATTTCTCTTCCACCTTCACTCACATGGCAAGTGGGATGTGAATGTGTTGTCCTGCATCGTATTCAAAGATGACACTACTGACAGTGATTGCTCCACTCCCCGTGTGTGACTGAGAAGCCCAATATGGTACCAGGACTCCTTCCTGTAGTTTGCACATGTGAGATTTGTGACTGCAGCTGCTTTTAACAGAGCCTGCCATTGTTTATATCTCTGCCTCCAAAATACAAAATGGGCCGTTGCTAGGAATGAACCACTTCATTTCCTGACCACTGCAAGCCAGACTCTTGTCTCAGCTGTTCTTTCCCAGATGTTCCCCAGCACAGCCATGCTGCTTCAAGTTGTGCTTTGCCTCATTCAGGGAAGAACAAGATAAATTGACTGGAATGATAAGTATTCCTTTGGTTGAGGATTGTGTTCCCTGCATGGATTCAACAACAAAAACTGAGAACCGATTCTAAGTACCTACTCCGTGTTAGCTTGCTGTGATCAGTGGTGGACAGGACACAAAGAAGGCTGAGGCCTGGGCTCTGCCATCAAGGTGTTTACTAGGTAATCCCACCCTGGAAATGGTGCAAGTCAATGAGCGACAGAATAAGGGCTGGACTAGGAACTCTTAACTCTAGATGTTCACTAGAGGGCGAAACCATTTCGGGTTTGGGTGTGAGGGAATTCATCATGGAATAGACATTTGGAAAAAGATGATCAGAGAAGACGCTTTGAGAATGGGAAATGTGAAAAAGATACCAAAGAAGCAAACTGACAGCGTCTTTTGGGGATGGTGGGTATACAGATTGGGTCCAAGGGGAAGACTACAAAATATAAGTAAACCAAGTGTCATGGAGCCTGGTTGTGAGGGTTCGAGCCATTACACAGATTTGATACAGCCTGCGAAAATAATTAGATTAAGGAGCAATCAATCCAGAAGTATGGTGAGTAGCCCTGATTCTGGCACAAACTAGTTGTGTGACACTGAACAAATAATTTAATCTCTCAGGGCCTCCATTTTTAAATCTGTAGATTGAGAAAACTAAAATAGAAAAGAAGTTCTCAACACTTGGGTGCAAGAATATTTGGAAAATCATGAAGGGACAACCATGACTTACACAAAGATTTGAGACAGGAAGATGATACTGGCATCTAATGGACCTAGCCAGGGTTGTCTGATGTTCTGTTACTCATGGGACAGTCACACTTGAAAATGTCCCCCACGTGTAAGGGAATAAACTATATATAATTCTTATTTCAGCCTAGAAGCCAATTGTGTTTTGCATGAAAATATGATATGTTCATCAAATTTCAATATAAATTCTTTCCCTAGAAATGTAAAAATCTTGTGGTGTTTGAGTTGCCACTAAAATACACCTATATCACTACATTTTACATTGTCACATTCACGGTGAGTCTAAGGATTTATAAGAATCTAATTATTAAATCCATATTTCAAAATGCCAATATATGCACTTGACTATTACATCCAAACTCACTCATTACAAGTAGCCACAAGCTTCAGACTACTTCATAGTATCTTCTAGTGTAGTGGCACCTAAATGCCACGTTTTCAAAGGCACACTGTTTTATCATCAATTACTTTTTATTTTATTTATCCTTATTATTATAGTTAGGGTATTTATTAAAGTTTTTTAAATGATGTGGGCAGGTGGAAAAACTATCTGTGAATTTTATTTCAGCTAGTAAAGAGCGTGGTACAAAATATTTACCATTCAAAGGGACATTGTGTCTGCTGGGACTGAGAAGCACTGGGTGAGTGATCTGGAAGGCCCGTCCAGATCAAACCTTCTATTACCCCGCTGGTGTCACAATCTGAGGCTCAGATGTGTCCAACGAACTCTCAGAGCCTTGATGTACTGTTTTTTAACAATTACATCCATAGATTAGTAAACTATTCCTTAATGGACTGAAAGAGCAATATCAAAACAAACCCATCAGTCACTAGCAGAATTATATTTATCCTTAGGATGTTTACTCCTGGGATAAATATAAGCATGGAATCCTTAGGATTTTTCAGCAAGATTCTCACCCAAAACAGAGGACTTTTCCCTTTACTTCCTGAAGCCTGCCTCTGGTACCCTATGCCAGCTAAGCAGCCACTTACTCATCTGATCAATTTTAAACGACATTTGAAATGTCACGATACACATTTGCTTCCCTTCCCATCCTCATTCTGCCCCTTGTGTGAAAGCAGTCATGGCAACGATATTTTTCACTGTGTCTTCAGGTCAGCAAATGTTGATTTAAGGCTCTTACACTTTCAGCATGTCCTGGACTCTCCGCATCACACCTTGAGAATCATCCTGGCCAGCAGTGGGTGCAGGCATGCTGTGAGCCTCGGCTGTCAGAGGATTTTCTGCTTTCTTTGCCACTGTTGGATGTTTGCAGGGGCCCCTGGGAGATGCTCTGCTAATGAGTTACAGGCTGCTTCATCTATCCTGTGCTTTGACTATCTGCCCAATCTTTCTAAGTTCCTAACCTCATGCTTCCTCTTTCCTCCTACTAGATGTCCTTCTGGGAGACATTGGATATGGGGATGAAGCATTCTAATCCCAGGGCCTGCAGCCTTGTCAGTGTGGACAACCCAGGGGTCTGTTGCTTTGTTTATCTTTCCTACTTGTCTAGTGGGAGGTTTGGCGAAGAGGGAAGGATTCAGATTGTGAGTCTTGGAAAAATATCTGAGTGGTTCCTTGTTTTTTTTTTAGTTTTTTTAATTCCAGTCATTAATAATAGAGAGCTGAAACTGCCTTAATTGAAAATGAAATTTGGTGCTTTGATAGAGCAATCTTTCCACTCTGACAAAAAGAAAGATCTTTCACATTTTGATATATTCTTTCAAAGCTGAAATTGAGGGTCAATTAGTGACTACTTCATGCAAACTAATGAGTGCAGCCAACAAAGTAAAATACCCTTATGTTAATAAAGCAAAGACATTATTTCCAAAGCAGAATCCTTTTGACTCTTAGTTAAGTCATCCTTTGTTTCTGACAGACTGAACAAATTAAAGAAAGAAGAATCTGAGGATAGAAATTTTATGGATGCTTCTTGCTTTTTTGTTTTTAATAATAAAAATTTCATTTCACAAGAATGATCTGTGAGACACAAAACCCTAACCAAGTGAGATGATGCTCTCATGTAGGTACAATATGACAAAAACTGAAGCCAAGATGCCCTTTCATTAAGGACGAATTTATAGAAACTGACCATG